CGTTCCTGCAAGAAGCTCCTGCCTCAGGTGGGTCCTTTGGGTGGGTGCTGGCACCCAGGGCACGATCTTTAGGGTGAGTGCTGGACCTGTGCCACAGCCTTGTTTTTGTCCCCATCTCCTTTGGCTCCTGCCTCCAGGTTACTTGATTCTGGATGCATCTGGGGCTGCTGCAGACCCTGCTGTTTGCTTTTCCAGCTTCCCTCAGCAAGGTTTGCTTCTCTTATTTATCTTTCATGCGACGATGTTGGTTTCTTCAGGTGCTGACCGCTCTGTGAGTGCAGGATTTAAAGGGACAGCCTTGGTGGCTACGACCTGAGCTGTCCCATTTCTCTGCACGCCTGCAGGGTGGTGTTGTAGGGTGAGCATCTCTTCTGTTGGGTCTGGGAACATCAGCCAGGTTGTGGTACTGTAGGCTAGAATCTACAAGGCTTTGTTGTCTCCAGAGTGGAAGCAGGACAATGTTGGTTTCAGGAGGAGAAAAATGAGAGCCTCAAACTCAGCAGAAGTTTCCTGGAGGTGGAAGGCAAGAGGAATGGGACCAACTGGGGATTCACTGATACAGCACAGGCAGACTGCAGGGGCTCTCCCATCACTCGCCTTCTCTCCCCGACTGCTGAAAGAGTCAATAACTCCAAATCTCGCTGCACTGGGATGCATCGTAAGTGAAAGGCAGTGGTGACAACCTCAGCTGTCAGGCCAAGGAGAGACTTGCTGCTGCTGATGGTAAATGGAAAGTGCCTGCTTCCCCGGGTAGCACATTGCAGTTTCCATAATACATCTGTCAAACCTCAGCATCTCTCCGGGGCAGCGGCACTGAGCCCTGCTCCAAGCCATCTGTGCTCTGGGAGATGCCTGGAGCTGCTCAGCCCAGTTCCCCACCATCACGGCCAGTGCCTGCTCTGCTCAAAGCCCTCTCCAGCCTCAATGAGCCTCGGCGTTCGTTCCCCACAGCCACAAATCCACCCTGAGACCTGCTGTATCCTACCCAAGCTGAGCATCATCTCGCAGAGCTGCCACCTGCTTTCCAAATCAAGCAAAAGAGCTTGGAAAAGAACTCTGTCCATCCCCCTGGGAAGGGTGTGAGAGGGTCCAAGAAATAGAATTCTGTGTCTGGCCATTGCTCCTCATAGTCTTTGCAATAGCTTTTCATGTCCCTAAACACACTTGCCCCGCCCCACTGAGCTGTGACTGGCAAAGCCAAGTTGGATTCTCGTGGCTGGATCCAGGGTGGCCTGAAGGATCATGCATGCTCGGGATGTCCCTGCATGGAGAGACAGGCTGGGTGACGTGGTTTTGTGGGTGCTGACTAGCCCCCAAGACACATGTTTGGTTTGCTAAGTGCCTGGTACCTGCGGTCTCAGCCCCAGCACCCTGCTTCATACTGCATGAGAGAGGAGAAGTCCCCCTGCTGTCACTCTCCTTCATTGGGCCAAGGTGGGACAGAAAGTAAATTCTGGACTTTGCTTTTTATGGCTGGATGCTTCGTGCAGGAGAAACTTGGACTGGGAACAGAGCCACGGCAGAGTTGAGCAGAGCTGGGCTGGGAAAGTTGTCCGTGTTGCACATTGCTGGCTTGCAAAACCAAATCAGCCTAAAGACTGGGATTTTGAGTCAGCCCTTGCAGCTAAGCTTGGTGCTGGGCCAAGCTCTGGGGACTGTCCTTTGCTCGGCCCTCACAATCAGAGTTCTGACCCGAATTGGGTGCCTCAGGGTGCTGCTGAGCCCCAAGGACTGGCCGCTGAGAGGAACTGCAGGTTTTGCCACGGAGCAAAAGTTTTGATCGGATGCCAGAAGCCAGAGTAGTGCAAAAAAACTTAAAGCGGTATATTGAAAATCTATTCACCTCGAACTAAAGACAAAAAAAAGTTTACAAATGAAAATTGAAAGAACGAGAAGAACCAGATTTCACAATGCCTGCTCAGAACAGCAACCTGTGTTTTGACACAGCCACCCTGGGAAGGGCTGGGAGAAGGAGACACAAGGCAGTCCTGAAATATTGAAAGGAGCAAGAACAAGCTGAGCCTGGAGTTGGGGAAATGGCAGGAGAGAGAGGTGATGCTCATCTGGGCTTGTAGGTGCCTGGAGGACCTTGTGCTGGGAAATATGGTGGGACAGGTCAGGTGCAGGAGAGGGCTGGGAAGGATCCCTGGGGTGTGCAAT